ACCACTGAGGCCCGGAGAACCGGCCTGCTACTGATTGCTGGGGCTGAGCCAACGGCAGCCCCTTCTCTGTCCTGGGGACCAGTTGACACTTCCAAATGTCACATGTGCCTGAGGTATCTGTGCTGTTTGAACAGTGAACCTGTGAGACGCACGTGGCCAGGGGCAGGGGCAGCCGCCAGCTCCATCTATTTCAGTCGTTTTCCTTATCCAAAGAGCGCAGCCTTGACCTGCTAGGCCCCGCCTGGCCCCTGGTGACCACTAAGCTGCTGTTCCTGTGGACCTGCCTGTCTGGACGGCTTTCTGCTTGGCATCTGTCGTGTACCCAGACCCTTCCCAGGCTCCTGCGTGCTTCAGCAGGCATGTGAACGCCATACCACCTTGTGGCTAAGTGACACTCTCATTGGGACAGACCCGTTTATTTCCCTAGCTCAGAGTCACGGGGCTCGATGTGTCCTGACTCTTTGCTCCCCTGCCGCCGGAGCGTGTTCTTGTGCTCCGGGGCCCTTGCGCTGCCTCCCGGGGGGGTGTCTCTAGGACCTCCACCCAGCTTTAGTTGGGCTGTCTTTCTCTTACTAGGTAATCAGAATTCTTTATTGCCCACACCAGACCCTTAACATACTTAATTTGCAAATTTTCTCCCTTTCTTTAGGCAATTTTTTTTTCACTTTCTTGATAATGATGTGTCTTGATAATGATGTGTCAATATTTTTAGACTTAAGTATAATGTATCTGTTTTATTCTTTAGTTACTTGTGTTTTCAGAATCATGGCTAAGAAAACATGGTCAAAACCGAGGTCCGAGAAAGTTCCTCTGCTTTCTTGTGCTTTGTGTGTGTCATGCAGTGGGCGTCTGACCTCACTGCTTCCACAGACTTCCTCTCTCCCAGAACTGGGGTGCAGAGTCCCTTCCCCACCGAGTGCCTGTCCCGCCGGCCAGCCTGCTCCTCCTGCGCCAGGGCCACACTGTTGGGCAGGATGCGGAGCTGAGCTTTGTCTGAGGCGATGAGTGGCTGGCATCGCACGAGCGTTTGTGCTTGGGGAGGAGAGGCCGGGCATGGGGATCACGCGGGGTGAGGTCAAGTTCAGCAGCGTCACACAGGCTGAGCTTTGGTGTCCTCAGCTGCAAAACAAGGGCACTGGGCCTGGTGCCAGTGTCCCCTGCGGCCCCTCAGCACAGGCGCTGGCGTGTCTGTGGCCTGTTAGAGGCCTGTGCTCCTCCAGGGTTCTGGTCCCCGGCATGGCTCACACGCCTGCAGCAGGGTGGACACCCAGTGCTGAGCAGGGTGTGCTGGTGGCTGTCTGTCCAGGAGGCTTGCACGCATCCTGCGCTTGGCGAGCCTCTGCTGTCCTCAGGCCTACAGCCCCCTTCTAGGGACTCTTCCTTTTATTTTCTTGATTTTTTAAAGATGTCATTTATTTGGTTTTTAAAGATTTATTTTATTTTTATTGGAAAGGCTGATATACAGAGAGGAGAGACAGAGAGGAAGATCTTCCATCCAATGATTCACTCCCCAGGCGGCCACAACAACTGGAGCTGAGCCAATCTGAAGCCAGGAGCTTCTTCCGGGTCTCCCACGCGGGTGTAGAGTCCCAAAGCTTTGGGCTGTCCTCGACTGCTTTCCCGGGCCACAGGCAGGGAGCTGGATGGGAAGCTGGATGGGAAGCGGGGCTGCCGGGATTAGAACTGGTGCCCATATGGGATCCTCACGTGCAAGGTGAGGAGATTAACCACTGCGCCACCGCGCCAGGCCCAGATTTTATTTATTTGAAAGGCAGACTTACAGGAGAGGCACAGAGGCAGACATGTTGGTTCCATGCTCTAATTACTCCCTGAATGGCTGCAGGAGTCCAGGTGAGTCAAGAGCCTGGAATCCCATGTACTTCTCCCAGGTGGGTGACAGGGAACCAAATTCTTAGGCTCAGGGACATTAACAGGGAGCTGGATCAGAAGGGTGGGTAGGATTTAAACTGGTACACATGGAGGTACCAATGTCAGCGGCATCAACTTAGCCCACAGTGCCAGCCCCTGGTGCCAGCCCAGTAGACTTGTCTTCACGCAGACAGGTGCACAGCCACCAACAGCTCATGTTAAGCTGCCAGAGAAGCGGCCGTCCCACTTTCCCATGTAGGTGGCAGGGACCCACATACCAGAGCCATCTCTGCTACCTCCCAGGTGACATGAGCAGGAAGCTGCAGCCAGGAGCAAGGCTGGAGACCTCAGTCCGGTACTCTGATGTGTTGTGGGTGCCTCCAGTGCTAAGTCGAACTAATTACCCACTCGCCATGCCCGTTGCAAGAAGTGTTATTGATGCTGCTGTGTTCCTGGTTAGCCCGGCCCATTTCCCATAACAGATGCACGCAGCCAGGACTTCCCTGATATGAGATCCAGGGGTTCCGTGACCTCCTTGAGAGGTGCCCCAGCTTCCTGAGGACTCCTCACTGCTTCCTGCTCACCCCCTTGTTCATACCTGTAGCTTCAGAAACTGCTCCGATGCTGTGGACGGCCAATTCCTGTCCTGCTCAGGCTGGGGTGTCCAGCACCTGCTGCGTTGGAGGTGCTGAAGGCATGCTGCCACAGGCAGGGAGAGAGCAGGCAGGGCAGGAGAGAAGCCCCATCCCCACTCAGTGTGGCACGTCCGACAAGCTGCGGGGAAATATAGTCCTGGGTTGGCCTTGCACACCTCGGGCCTGCTACGTTGGCGCCCCAGCTTGACAGGTACACACCCACACTTCTTCTGTTCCCATCTTGGTAACGTCTCCATCCCCTCTCTACCCTCCCCCTTATCTAACCTCCTCTTCTTACTCATCCCTATGCATGCACTGTCTGTGTCCCCCACCCAGTGTCCTCACATCTTTTCAGGCCCCTGGAGATCCACCCTCTGGGATCCACCCCGTCGTGGTCCACATTGTGTGGCTGCACGTGTCCAGCACATCAGCTCTGCCTCTGCTCTAAGGACACAGCACCTTGGCCTTCGTGGCCTGGGAGCAGCTCTGGGTTTCCCTGGCTTCCTCCCCGAGACACCCTCCCCAGCCTGCCATGCCCAGGAACTGCCGGCACTGTCGTCCCTGGCGGAGGGCTGTGAAATCACAGCCAGCCCAGGGCCTGGGGCGCACTGAGCAGGCCAGACCAGGAGCTGCCTGAGGAGCACCCCAAGTGTCCCTTAGTGAGTGCAGAGTTGGGGGGGTGCAGAGCAGTGCTGCCTGCCGGCGTGGGGCAGCCTGGAGCCTCTGCAGCCACAGCAGCTGGCCTAGCTGGTGTTTCGGGTTGTTCTGCTGTCTGTCTTCTCAGCTGGTGGAGAGCTTTGCTCAGCACCTGTGGGCGCCTGCACCGTGGTCCATGTCCTAGATACACACATGACTGGGCATCCTGCTAGGGTTGGAAGCGGCCACAGAGCTCTTCTGTCATCCTGCTGCCCAAGTGTTAACTGGAGTTGGCCTGAATGTGATACTAGGTTCAACATTAGGGAAATACGCAGAAGAAACAAAAGCTGTGAGCTGGGGCCACATGCACAGACCAAGTCAGCACTTAGAGCCTCCTTGGGACTGTGCTGGCTGCTGGAGTTTTTCTGAGGCCAGCTAGGGGAAGCTCAGCGAACAGGTTTGCGCACGGGGATCCCAGGGCTAAGTGAGTTACGAGGGGTTCTAAGGAAGAAAGCCCTAGGCCTTCCCGATGACATGGAGGGTGGAAGCTGCAGCCTGGGCACCAAGGAGACCTCAGTCTCTCTGCCTGGGCAGAATTCTATCCATCTTCCCATCCCCCCTCCCCATAGCCTCATCTCTGAGAACTCCCACTCGGTGCCCTGAAGCCCATTATTAAACACAGCAGCACTGAAGGGCAGCCTCTGGCTGGGGTCTGCTCCTCTGGTCCTGGCAATTGATGTTGCCACCACTGCTGGTGGCCAGCACTTCCAGGCAGTAGAGAATGCAAACCACTGTTGGGGTGGGCTCCACAGGCTCCCCTTCAGCCTGTATGGGTGGCAGAGGAAGGGACCTCCGTGGCACTGTTGTGTGGCCCTCCAATTGCCCTGCCTTCTACTGGAGTGTGTCTTGGGACTGTGCTGCAAGCTGGACATGCTGCAGGGCAGCCTGTGGCGTGATGGGCGTGGCAGCCTGCAGCGTGATGGGCTGCGGCGTGACAGCCTGTGGCGTGATGGGCTGCAGCGTGGCAGCCTGCGGCGTGGCAGCCTGCGGCATGGCAGCCTGCGGCGTGACTGCTGTGCTGTCCTGATTGTTGTGTTGCGGTTTGCAGAGAGGTAGGGTGCCGGCCTTGAGGAAGAACGTTGCACAGCGCTCCACTGCAGAGGCTGTGTGTGCAGGGAGGAAGGGCTGCACTGTGCTTCCTGTCGCCTCCTGCATGTCACCACAGACTCGGTGCCTGCAGGAGGGGCACCAGCTTGTTGCTGAGCTCTGGGCATCTGTGGTGCGAGATGGAGTGAAAGCATGGTGCGGGGCAGAGTCCTATGCCCTCTGGAGTCATAGGAGGCTCCCAGTGCTGTCTCCTAACTCCCAGTTCCCACCACCTGGTACCATCTCCCAGCACGTGGCACCTGGCACCAGCTCCCAGCACGTGGCACCAGCTCCTGGCACATAGCACGTGGTGCTGCCTCCCAGTACCCAATTCCTCTTCCCAGCTCCCGGCCTGGGCACCCTGTCATCCCATCTCTCTCTGACTCCTGGCCTGCCTCCCTCGTTCTATTGCCGTCTCTGGGCTGGCCCTCCCTCTCAGAAGGACCTGGCCCGTGCCATCGGTCCAGCCATCTTGATCCATCTCATTCTCTCCAGGGCCACTTACATGTGCAATCTCACTTGTCGAGCAAGGTCATGAATTTACGAGCTCCGGGGTCTGGATGTGACTGTCCTGGGGGTGGGGGCAGGGGGACATGTTATTACTCCGCCTGCCGTCATTCCATCACCCCGGATGGCAGTGATTGGGGGCCCGGAGAGCCAGCTGTGTCTGTGGAGCTCCCCTGCTGACACGTGCCTCTGTTTTTGTTCCCGAAGCCAATCTCCAGCAGGAAAAACAGCCTCGTGGGCATCCAGTCCACCTCCAAGATCAAGGTGCCGGTCCTGCAGCCCATCGTGAAAAAGGACAGGCGGCAGAACTCGTCGCGGTTCAGCGCCAGCAACAACCGGGAGCTGCAGAAGCTGCCGGCTCTCAAAGGTAACCGTGTTCGCCCGGTGCGAGCCCAGTGCGGCCCGCAGCAGAGGGCCAACGTTTTGCTCAGCTGCCCACTGCCTGCACCTTCGCTGGGCAGTCCCTATGGCATTGTTTTCTCTTCTGCATGGGTTTTGTTTTTTTAGGTGGAATACCATCAGTTTATTCACTCAACCAACATTCAAATGCCAGAGCTGCTTACGATAAAAGCCCAGTAACTGCTGTGTTGTAGGTATCACGCACTGTGAAGACAGACAGCTGGGATGTGTTCACATTCCTGGCGGTTAAGCTAGCTGGCTTCTCCTTACGATCCTTGTCTGTGAGCCTTGGGCTCGAGCACTCCAGAAAGGAGCTGCTACAGGTAGCATGGCAGCGGAGGAGTGAGGACCACCTGCAGCTGGGCTTGCAGGAGTAAGTGCTCCTGGCCCTCCATTTACCGCGCCCCCGTGGCGCCCGGTTAACGTGTCTGCCTTGGGGCCGGGGGGGAGTAGCACCAGGCCCTCATCGAGGAGGGTGGAAGAAACAGTCCTAGGCCCGAGGTGAGTCGTGGAAAGTGCACTCTCCCTGCACCAGGCTCAACGAGAAGGCGTGCGTGTTTCTGAGAGCTGAGTTCCAGAGCTCGCTCCTCCGTGGGACAGTGGGCTTATGGGTGACTTCCCTGCCCTCTGACGCTGGGGCCTGGCCTCAGTCCCCAGCTACGGAGCCAGCTTTCATTCTTCGGGGGCACCTTGCATTTTCATTTATTTCTCACGTCCCGTCCCACCCTACCCCGCCACATCTGTACCTGTCTGATGTTGTCAGTGCGTTGGTCAGGTTCCTACTGAGCAGCTGGGCCAAGACCTGCCAGTGACTCCTCCCAGCAGCACCCTTGGGGGGTGGGGGGTGGGACCCAGACTCCCAGCGGTTTGGACATCTGCCACCGAAGAAGCCATGCATAGCTGTCACTGAGCCGCCACACTCTGGCCTGTCACAGTGCCCGGTGCAGCCGGAGCTTGGCCTGAGAAGGAGCCCCTGCCCCGTGTGTGCCCAGCAGGCCTCAGTGGGCTGGCTGCTCGGGTGCTGCTGTGTACCTCCTGCCCCCATGCTCGTCTCCCTCGTAGAACAGAGGCAGTGTCCTGCCACAGGCGCTGCACGGCCATGCTGCCTCCACTCACCCTTCTGCCCCAGTGATGCTTGGCCGTTCCATGACGTCAGTGCTGTGTGCATGTGCCAACTCGGTGCTGTCTAGTTCAGGAAAAGCAGGGATCAGTGGACTGTGTTGATGCTACATGCTGACTTTAGGGGATTGACATTTCTGTGGCACACTTTGCCCGTTCGTGTTTTGGGTTTTAATTTCTGACCTCTCATGAGGTTATCTTGGCTTTTTGTAAATCTCTACTTTCCATTCATTTTATGCTAAAAGCTTTATGCTTTTTTGTCAATTTTGTAACTGGGTTACACTTTTTTCATTTCTACTTCTGATTGGCTCTGATTTTGCGAAAGGCTGTTTCTTGAATTCTGAGTATTTTCTTCTGTCATGGCCTTACCAAGTTCCATTACTATCGCTAGCAGGTTCTCTCTGCTGCTGTCCCCTGCGATCACATTGTGACGTCAAGCTGGCCGTGGAGCTGTAGCATTAGCTGGCGCTGCAGGTGACGGGGCACCAGCCGCACTAGCCGTTTCCTCCACTTGCAGTGGATGGCGTCAGTGTGCCCTCATGTGCTGTGGAGGTGGCTCTCATTTGTGGGCAGTGTTCTGGCCACGGGGTGGGGAGCCCGTCAGCGTGGCTGGTGTTCGTGTGTGCGTCCCCCGGTCGCTGCAGCATCAGCGTGTGGTTCTGCCTATATGCTGCTCCGGCACACTGTCATGGCAGGCCTGCTGTCTGTCCGTGGCACGCGTTTCAGGTTGGCAGTTTTCTTCAGAATTTTTGCTTCAGTATTGATGATAGAAAGCTGGTGAGGTGTTTTCTGCTTCATGTTGCTGTACCTTTTGGTTTGAGATTTGCTGATTTTTATTTGAAAGACAGACACAGAAAGAGTTAGAATTTCCATTGGCTGGTTTGCTCCCTAGACGATGGCAGTGGCCAGAGCTGTGCCAGGCTGAGGCCAGAGACAAGGAACTTTTGGGTCTCCTGTGCGGGTACAGGACCCAAACACTTGGGCCATCTTCCACTGCTTTCCCAGGTGCAATAGCAGGAGCTGGATGGGAGGCAGAGCAGCTGGGACCGGAACGAGCGCCCACAGGGGAAGCCTGTGCCACGGGTGGCAGGTCTGCCTGTTACACCATGGCGCTGCCCCCTACTTCTGCATCCCATCAGGCACTGCGGGTCTCTGTGCAGCTCTTACACTACCATCACGCGTGACGGGTTCTAGGATGTGCTGGTTTCAGAAGTGTGGTGATGTGGAGTAATACACGAGGTCCTTCCTGGCTGGGAGTGGCCTGGAGCCTTTCCCCGGCTGAGGAAAGCATCAGTCTCACAGCAGGTGGGTGGGTCCTGGCAGGCACCCCGAGTGCCCCTCAGTGTGTGGGAGCCTTTCCCGTCTTCTGAGGAGTTCCGTGATTCTTTTAAATACATTGGTTGAATTAAGAATCTTTAATTACCCTGTTTATTTTATCCTTTTCCTCATGTAATAAGTTGTTTTTAGTTTGCTAAATACTTAGAACTTAACTCCATGTATGGCTATGAATGACTCCAGCCCCCTTTCTAATAATCCTTAGATAGAACTTAACTCCATGTTCTCCTCTGTGAATCACTCCAGCCCCATTTTCTCCTTCTCTAGGTAATTTTTCCTGCACCTATTTCCTTATTTATTCTAAAAGCAGAGTTACAGAGAGAGGGAAAGAGAAGGACAGCATCTTCCATCTACTGGTTCACCCCCAAAATGTCCGAAACTTCCAGGGCTGGGACGGGCCCGAGCCACGAGCCGGGAGCTGCTCCAAGCACGCCAGGTCTCCCCCATGAATACCGAGGCCCAAGCTTTTGGGCCATTTTTTGGTTCCTTTCCCACACGCGTTACTAGGGAGCTAGATCTGATGGAGAGCGGCGCCATGTGGGCGGCTGCGGCTGCAGGCAAAGCACCAGGTCCTCTAGGTATGCTTGTTTGTTTGTTAAGATATACAGAGAGGAGAGAAAGATCTTCCATTAGCTGGTTCACTCCCTAAGTGCCTGCAATGTCCAGAGCTGAGCCAATCCGGAGCCAGGAGCTTCCACCTGGTCTCCTACATGGTTGCAGGGTCCCAAGGCTTTGGGGTGTCCTCATCTACTTTCTCAGGCCACAAGCAGGAGCTGGATGGGAAGCGGGGCCACCAGGATTAGAACTGGATGGGATCCTGGCACGTGTGAGATGAGGACTTTAGCCACTAAGCTACCACACAAGCCTGATTTGTGCATTTTTCAATTGGATTTCTTTGGTTTTGGTTTTGTTGATGTTGTTTGGATCTTGTCTATTCTTGGTGCTGATCCTTGCGTGGTGAACAGCTGGTAGTCGTTTTCTCCTGTATTCTAGGTTTTCTGTTTGCTCTATCGGTGGTTCCCTTTGCTGTGCAGAAACCTCTTAGTTTGTAAAATACCATTTATCTGTTGTTTCTTTTTTGGCTCTACTTTTGTGACTTTGTTGAAAAAAAATTTTTTTTAAAGATTTATTTATTTTCATTGGAAAGTCAGATATACAGAGAGGAGAGACAGTGAGAAAGATCTTCTGTCCAATGATTCACTCCCCAAGTGAGCGCAACGGCCAATGCTATGCCGATCCGAAGCCAGGATCCAGGAACTTCTTCCGGGTCTCACACGTGGGTGCAGGGTCCCAAGGATTTGGGCCGTCCTCGACTGCTTTCCCAGGCCACAGGCAGGGAGCTGGATGGGAAGCGGGGCTACTGGGATTAGAACCGGCGCCCATATAGGATTCCAGCGCATTCAAGGTGAGGACTTTAGCAGCTAGGCTGTTGCGCCAGGCCCATAAAATCAGCTATCAAGATGACTTTTGTCGTTTTGCTCAGGATTGCTTTGCCTCTTTAAGACCTTTCATGTAACCTCCATGAGCGCATCAGTGTGTGGCTAGGGCTGTGCTGCGTCTGTAGGTTGTCCGGCGTAACGTGAACATTTCAGCAGTATTGTCCCAGTCCGTAAACATGAGATGTCTTTCCATCTCTCTTTTTTTTTTTAAATATTTATTTTTGTTGGAAAGTCAGATATACAGAGAGGAGGAGAGACAGAGAGAAAGATCTTCCATCTGATGATTCATTCCCCAAGTGAGCACGAAGCCTGGTCCAAAGCCAGGAGCCAGGAACTTCCTCCAGGTCTCCCACACAGGTGTAGAGTCCCAAGGCTTTGTGCCGTCCTTGACTGCTTTCCCAGGCCACAAGCAGGGAGCTGGATGGGAAGTGGAGCTGCCAGCATTAGAACTGGCACCCACATGGATCCCAGTCATTGAAGGTGAGGACTTAGCCACTAGGCCGCACCACTGGACCCGTCTTTCCATTTCTTATGTGTCATTTTTAATTTCTCTAATCACTGTTTTGTAGTTTTCATCATAGAGGTGTTTTCTGTCCATGGTTCATTTCTTCCTCGAGGGTTGCATGTTGCTATTGCTATTATAATATAATGAGAGTGCTTTCTTCATTTCTTTCCCAGCAGGCTCGTTGCTGGTACACAGAAGGGCGGCTGGTTTGTGCTTAGTGAGTCTGTGTCCTGCAGTTCCGGTGTCTTGGTGTGAAGTCTTCAGGGTGTCCTATGTACCGCGTCATGCCAGCTGCTCTCAGCTCTGGCCTAGCTTCCTCCTTCTCTGCATCTCCTCCTGCCGCGCGGCCTTCCAGGGCTGAGCTGTCGTAGGAGAGCCCTGATGGGGACATCGTGGGTTGTCCATAGTCCACAGGAAGTACTCAGCTTGCTCCCCAGTTAGTGTGCTGTTGGCTGTGGGGTTTTCATGTTTGCCTTTTTGTTTTATACTGAAATACTTTCCTCTTTACCTGATTGGTTAAGGTTTTGTTTTGTGGAAGCTTTGAAGGGATGTTGAACGAGTTCTTGGTGG